TTTCCCTACCTCGTTTCTCTCTAAACCCCACTTTAATTTTTCCTTTGAAATTAAACTTGTAACTGTAAGTCCTGTAAATATGGTGATAGTGCATGTGGAACATTCAATAATGTGCAGAATGTAGCTGTGTGATTCCACCACAGGGTGTACCCATGTGCTCTGAGTGCATGTGCCTGCTGGGAATATACCTGTAACCTCGGTACAGGACCTGAGGCCACAGAGCTGCAGCAGTCTTGCTGCTATTAGGATGAAAAATCCAGCATGTTACCTCTAAAATCACAGGCTTGCTGAATTGCTGTCACAAGAGTACCCAGGCATTCCTTCAAATGGCTTCAGTTGGGACGACAAGGAAGGGAGCTGAAAAGGGTTGGTGCAGGGTCTTTCCTGTTGAATGTGGAAGAAAAAGACAATAACAAGATTTGTTTGTTTTAAAAGCTAGAGAATTATAGCACATTTCATAAATGCCACAGTTTCCTATACCTATCCTCTCACATATTTTCTGACCAAGGAGAGTGGCAGTGATTGAGTGAGTTAGATTCAGCTTGGATCCCCAAAGATGCCATTGGAGAGCAGTTTTGGACTAAATGACCGGCCAGGTGGTGCTGAGTGGCCAAGAGCTGAGTAGATAAGAGCCTTGTGACATGCTGGTATTCATTAGTCAGTTAATTAATGACTTAAAATAAAGCAAGCTGTTTCATAACCTGTTAGCAGGCTCTACAGGGAAGGACAGCAAGGGTATGTGGGGCGTTAGGAAGGATGTGAGGTTACATAAGGAGTGTGAGGACATGAGACCCATTGAGGCAGTACTGGATGGCTGTGCTGGGCTTTAATGATATATAAATAGAGCTGCTGGAGTGAGCTTTTCCTTAATGTGCTCCTGGGATTTGCTTCAGTTCAAGCCACTTTGGACACCCAGAGACATATCTGTATGTCTGCAGCAACGATTAGCAGGCTGTATCGCTTCTCAGAACTATCTCATATAACAACAGACACACACTTAGCTTCTTTAAGAAAGATGATATGCCTTCCTACATGACTTTTAGATATTCATGAAGGCAATACCAGCTGGTTCCCCCACCAGCCACCTTTTTTTTTCTTCTCCACAAGGTTTGGGAATATGGCCTCCTTTTAAAAACACTGTTTCAATCAGTAGGTTGTGTTTACAGTTGTGTCTTCAAATTCTACTCATTATTAGCTTCTACTTTTTTCCCAGTACAGGCACCAGGTTTACTGGGCCACAGTTCCCTGAAACACTTCTTAAAAATTAACGTTCTACTGGGCAATTTCAGTATCTCCAAAACCAAGGCTCTTAGTAAGAGCTCATACACCACATCCATTAGTTCAGCTGTTACGTCCTCGTGCCTTTTTGAAAATTTTGTGTAAATCCCATCTGGTCTTGGCCACTTGTTACTATTCATTTTGTCTATTTGGCAACAGGCAGAATGTACAATCATCATCATCATCAGTTTATTAGGTGAACAATTCTGGCACGGAAGTCAAGCTGGTTTTTTCCCACCACCATTTTTTTTTTCTTTACTGCTACTAGATAATATCCCAAGTAAGCAATATAATTTGCTCTTCTACAGGGAGACAGTAGAGGTGTGAGACCAGCTGTAAGTGGGAGCAAACAATGTATATTACTCAAATTGCTCCTGTCTCTACTTCTGCTTTTCCTGCCAGAATTGCCTGGGTAAAAAGGGTAAAAATGATGGTCTGGTAATTAACTTTTTTCTAGTTTGATTGCCTCAGGAAGGACAGAAGGAAGTAGAAGACCTGTCATTTAAGGGGAAATACTACCACATCCCATGGGGTAATAAATAGTTCTTGTCAATAACTTGCTTAGAATAGGGGTTGCTGCCAACTTTACAACTGCTGAAACAGCCTAAAGATATGATCATATCATAGAACAACAAAATAAGGTTACAGAATACCTTTCCCCCAAAATACATAATATATATCATTGACCATTTTGCAGTGTTCAGTAGTTAGATGAAAGACCTCTTCGACGCCCATGTTCAGTATTACAACAGAAGCTCTTCTTGACTGAGGGTAGTAGACAGCTGTGAAAAAAGCTTGCAAATATATTTTTAGAAAGGAATGCCTCAAAGATTATCATTAATTCTATTTGGCCTTGGTGCAGTGTCAAATTCATGCTCAGTGATACAGAATATCAGCATACATGATCATGCATTTTTGACCAGTTTAGATCAACTTTCTTTTACCTTTACATATATTATCTTTCAGTTTTCATGAGAAGATGAACTTTTAGTACATATT